TCGTCATCTAATGCTGCCAAACCTGATCAGGATTCCATGGGAACTGAAGTTTCAAAAAGTCTAGCGGAAAAATACAGTTCTAAAATGGGCGGTGAGAGTTCTCATCATCTGTAGGAGACATATAAAACTAGTATCATTCTCCTATTATCTCTAAGAAAAATATACTTCTTTACCTCTTCACAGCAGAGACAGCCGAAATTGACAAAAATAATGAAATTTTTCAAAGTTCACATGAAGGGAAAGAGCAAGGTGATTTGGTTGACTACAGCTGGGCTAACATTGGAAGTTTCGATGATCTTGATCGAATTTTCAGGTAATGCAAATTATACATATCCTTCATTTTTTCTTTGGTGAAATTTATGTTTCTGTAATAACTTAAATATATATTTTTTGATTCTTATGTCCAGAACTCACAGCCACCAATAATCCAACTGACATGCCTTATTGTTTCTATTTTTTTAATTCTACAAATGAACTTGATGTAGAGAATACTTTGAGCTTCAAAAGAGAGTTGATCTCTTTGGAATCAGAGTAATTTATCCTGAGCTTCTAAGAATTGAATGCTCATTGTTTCCCCAAATTTTATTTAAACATATTCAACATTCAAATATGAATCATATAATAACACTGATGGAATTCAGCAGTTTTGGTGCTTGGATATTTTTCATACTATGTTATTCATTTTCTAGACCCTGCTTTAGGCATGAAATGAGCAATTGAGCTTTTCCCAACAAATTTTCTTTCTTCTGAATTTCTTTAACTTGACAATTGTCCAGATATTTCTACCTTATGTTATGTTTGTAAGCACCTTATCTCAATTTAGAAGACCAGAATTTCTTGAGATGTTGATGACATAAGTCAACTTACCAAGTGGTGGTAGAATTGTTTGCATCTCGTTCATCTAATGACACTTTCCTTTTTTCTTTACCACATTCATAACTATTTCCATCTGACTCAGTATCCTCACAAGTGATATTTTGCAGTAATGATGACCCATTATTTGGCAATGTAAGTCTTGGTAGTGCTGATGAGCTATGGTCTTCTTCTAAAGATGTGATTAACAGCCCACCAAAATACTTCCCCCTAACTGTGGATTCTCCAAGTATAGGGTTGGGAGCATTAGGGATTACGTCGGAGAATTTGGACAATAAAACAGAAAATGAGCAACAAGAAAACCAGCCATTTACCCTTAGCTACGGGGAACTGAGTGACCCTTCATCTCATGGTCCGTATAATGCAAATTTACCTCTAGATCATGGCAGATATCCTGGAGGAAAATATAAACCCACAACAAAGGAACAGGTAATAGATATGTCTTAGCGTGGTAGACACTCTGAGCACTTTCAGTTAAAGGAGTCAAGAAAATAATTTTAATTATATATATAAATTATTTTCTCTCTTGCAGGCAGATGGAGTCATTAGGGGGAATATCACTGAAACAAATCATAGCCTTGCCGCAGAAAAAGTTGAGACTCCTAATGAACTTGTTGATAAGGTATCCTTTACTCTGATTCATTCAGCTTGAGGGTTATGTGACTCCAGTTATTATACTTCCATATTCTTGGTCTAACAGAAACACATGAATAATTTTAATGAGAACTGGTGTTTGTTGTTTTTGCTTGTTTGTGTTAATGTTTTGATGACTTGGTTAATTTAATTTTTAAAATAATGTGTTCTAAATTCCATAAATGGCACCGAACACTGAAATCTTTTTATCCCAGTTGTGCTAATTTCCTCGATAACATACTTGGATAAGGGACCATTAGCTAACAAGCTAGCCATGGTTAAAAGACCTTATCAACATGATAGTTGATCAGTCTTTCTTCTCAATTTCATTGGACAAGCAAGAAAGTTTTCTAGTATGATTGAATAAGAGCATAAATTGACGGATTATGTTCAATTGAGATATGCACTGTAAACACCTGCCGATGCTCTCAATTCCTCTCCTAGCTCAAAGATTCTCTCTTATCTCTTTCATTTTCTCCCTTTATCCCTCCCTGCCTCATCTCTTTCTGCCTTATGCAAATAGCTTGGCTTGCTTGTTCAATTTCTCTCCCATTAAGCTTGGCTTGCTCTGGGAGTCATGGTAACCGACCCACCGAGAAAGTTCTTGGTGGTAGAGAGAAAGTCCTACAATACAGAGTTAGAAGGTGAAGTTTGTTATATTCTTCACGTAAGGGAAAATGATTTTCATTTCTAGGATTATCTCTTTCATACAGAAATAAGATGGCTTTTTAGAGCTTCTTATGAGTTCTTCTAGTTACAAGGCCACAAAATGTGGAGCAAGAAACTTCTGGGGGGTGATAAAGACTTGGTTTTCCTCTGTTAAAACAAAAGAGGGGAAGGTTTCAGAACTGTGTGAATGGAATTCAGGTGGAAAGTGAATGATATTGTTCCTGGAGAAAATAAAAGTTGACAGATGGTGCCATCTAAAAGCATACAAAATACTCTTGTAGTTAATCTGTTATTAAATTTTTCATATAGTTTGTTTATACCACTACTCTTTTATTTTTGTATTACTAAGGCTCTACAACCTAATTCTTGTAAACTTACAAATAGAACATTCATGTGGTTAATAAAATCACCTTGAATATTTTTTTTTGGTACCAGTTTATGGTATCAGAGCAAATCATCAACCAAAAAAATTTCCTTTAGAAATAACCAGATGAGTTCTCCAGGTAGGGTTTTGACAGGTCAACTTCTTTGCAAGCAGGAAAAGCCTTCAAACAAATAAATTTTGGTTGAAAGCTCAAGCTAAATACTAAAGCTACAAAGCCTAGGTTATCTTAGTAAGCTACAGGAAAATGGGTCAAAAACTACCAACATTTGTAAGACCCAAGGTCTGGCCTGTTAGACAGACAAAAGGGTCACAATTCTAGAAAAGTCTCCAGGTAAATTTCCTATATGCTTTTTTCTTCTTCCTTTGAGAACTTAGGACGTTAAATTGTTTTAAGTTGGTGAGCCTAATGAGGTAAGGGGTGTCGGTGGATGAAGAGTGGAACTTCTTTGTTTACCAAGGATCATTCCTAAGGAGGGATTTTCTCATACACCTAGCACATGTTCTCACGTTTGAAATGGAAGTTTCTTGTAGGGAGAATTGGCTTGTGGCTATTGTTCAGTCTCATGGTCTGCATCAAAGCAAAGATTATTTGACCTTGGAGTTGGATAGTTGGCAAAGTGACAAAGAAAATTGTTTTTTTTATAGTTGTCTATGGTATCTATTAGAGAAATAGCAAACTAGATTAAAAGGTATAAAAGTCAATTATACCAAATATAGTGAATTATGTTAAAGAGTATAAGAGTAAATTATACCTGTGTAATTAGTTATAATTAATTGTTTATTTCTTTTTGTTTTAAAAAATCTGTATATATAAGACTATAATATTAAATAAAATATATCAATCATTCTTGATATGGTATCAGATGCCTACATTAAAGAAACCCTAACCTTAGTTAAAAGTTCTATTCAGTCTTCATTGTCGAAATAAGAAAACCCTAAAAAGGATTAGCTTTCATTGCCGGCCATCACAACCCTAGCCATCAGCCACCGACCGGCCACCTCCACAACCAGTGGACATTGTAGCTGACCATCTTTGCCAAGATCAGCCTTCATTGTTGGATCTAGTTTGCCTAGTCTAGTCATGCACAGTCCAGGCATGGTCACTTAGTCTCGCACAATCCGACCAGTTGCGCACAACCCCAGCCGCGGTCACACAGTCATCCAGTCGGACCAGAGCGCAACTCTAGTCGCCACCATCTGAGCATATCCCAGCCACGGTCGCCCTCCATCTAAGCTATTAGGCAGCGGTCACATGATTCTACTTGAGCTACACGATCTATCTTGGCCCATCCATATGCACA